GGGGGGGACGGAAGGGGGGAAGTAAACGGCGGCATTATCGTTTTAGATTATGCAGTTGACGTAAGATGATGTATATAAACTGGCCCGTGCTATATCGTAGGCTTGCTGCAATCCGATTGATACTACACCAAGTATGCCGGAAAACGTGTGAATTATACGTGTGGCAGGAATGCATTCCTTAACGGCTTTTGGTGTCGGCTCTTCCCTTAATGAAAATTTAATCGATGACTTAATTAGGAATCCACTTAATTAAAGGATTATATGGGCGAATGAAGCTGCAGCTGCAGTGTGTAACAAAACTTTACTTTCTAGTTAATTCGAGGCAGACTCCCTCTTAATAGAAAATTACCTTCATATACTGCATTAGCCGGATTCTTCAGTATACCTATACCTCGAAATTGAAAGGCGAGCACCAAGATCCGCACCGTCAAAAATGTAACTTTGTAATTCGTTAAAGAATTGCGCGTTCTTGCAACCAACGCGATTTCCGGTATGCCGTATGCAAACGCGGCAAAATTAATCACGGCGCTTTTGCTTGTGCCATATAGTTATCGAAATGCATGATATTGCGTGGTATGCGCTGGAAGCTTGGAATGCCGTTACACAAGTAGTTTCCAATAATTCCACGTGCTCGTTATACATGACATAATTGCGTTTATGTATACTCACACAGTTTTCGCATGTGTAAAATAATTCCGACCCGCGCGCACGTTTCTCACATAATACGTCCGCTCCTCCCGCTCGCCAGCGCCCGCATTTGCCCGTTTTAACGCGGCGAACGCGGAATCGCTTAACTGCGAAACGGGTTATACTCGCGACGTATACAGCTGGCTCGTTACATAAAGCGAAGTTGAACCTCCGCACGCTCCATTAGCCCTCCCGCGCGCGTGGAAGGTGCAAAGTTACCATCGAAAACTTCCGCGAACGGAACGCGGGGGTGCGCATAGGTGCCATTGATTCCTTTTTCCGCGATTCGTATTTTCAACACGCTCCACTTTATCGAGCGCGGATCTATACAGACGAGACGGCTCATGCGGACTATTATACCTTTGCGCGTAATTTTGCACGCTGGATTTTCCCCGTTTGACCCATGTTTAATCTTGCGGTCGAAAACAGTATGCAGCCTTTGATCTCTTTACCCGTAGGGCCGTGTCGACTCGCATGGTCGCCGGTATGTGGTGGTTCTTCACGCTGATCATGATCTCCTCTTATACGGCTAATCTCGCGGCTTTCCTCACCGTCGAGAGGATGGATTCCCCGATCGAGAGCGCCGAGGATCTCGCTAAGCAGACGAAAATCAAATACGGCGCCCTCAAAGGCGGCAGCACGGCGGCCTTCTTCAAGGTGAGATTAAAACTTTTACATCATGCATTGCTCCCAAGGATGGAGTAACATATAGAACAACATCTTTTATGTATCTTTTGAAGGTTACAATTTACCCCTGATATCCCGAAAAATATCGCGATTAGATGCGCGATATAAGAGAACCGAATGCCATCCCCGATAAGATAATAAAACTTACTATACGTATAGCACAGTAAACTGAGCAGGAAGGGCTTAAATAAGGTTACTATCTTATTTAAGCCCTTCAGTACATTGTTATATCAAGTCCCGTAAGTAATTGAGTTAAATCCGCTCCTGGCGGGCTAAGAATCTCCAATCAGAGCAACAGCGGAACCGCAGGATGCGACCCCGAGAATATTCTCCCATTAATTCGAGAGCGCCGATGCGTGCAATTATAGGGATGTAAGCGGGGGGGGGGGGGATATCCTCCCTGCACGAAGTAAGGCATGCCTACTTCGAGGTTAACCGATTTCCACTCCCGACGTTCCACCGTTTAACGGCACGCGTACTCAACCACGAAATTCCCGGCATGATCTAGGATTCCAATTTCTCGACGTACCAACGCATGTGGTCCTTCATGGACTCGGCGAAGCCGTCGGTATTTACGGGGAGCAACGGCGAGGGCGTGGATCGAGTGATCACAGGGAAAGGTAGTTACGCATTCCTGATGGAATCCACCTCCATCGAATACGTAATCGAGAGGAAGTGCGACCTCACTCAAGTCGGCGGTCTCTTGGACTCCAAGGGCTACGGCATAGCCATGCCGCCAAGTAAGTGTTAATAGAAATGCTTTATACATGTGCATTACGTGCCGCGGAAGGGATTGCGATAAAACTTCATGCGCGGCGTGTAGACACGTTCGGTAAATGAGAATGTCGAAGAGACATGAAAAGAAGCTCGATGATTAAAACGTGAAGGGGAGGAGAAGTGAAAGGGAAATGCCAACGCGTGAATTTCTTGAAGTGATTCTCGCTATAATAAATCACAAATTGTGTGATTCGCATCTCTTGTATTGAAAACATTACAAATTTAAAATAACAAAGTGTTATTTGATTAATTTTTAAATATTTTATTTTTATTGTTTGAATATTTTAAGTCATCGCTATTTTATTTAACGCTTCAATCATTGCGAGGTATTTAATATATTGTTGATTTGTGTTGATCGGACTCGAACCGGATATGTAATAATATGTCCCTCAATAGTTGTGGATTTCCAATGCTACGTTATATTTAATACAAAACATGCGTACAGTAATTAACTTTTTTGCCGCATCTCGGCAATCCACGCGCATTACTCGGTAATACAGACCACGCGAATCAAAATTTTAGAATAATAAATGATTCCGCGAACGAAGTATTAATGAGCACGTTTTGCAATCAATATTTGCAGAGCATTAAAGACCATATAATTATTATGGGACGTATCATTACGTTCGTCACGTTCAATCTAATGCAAACGAACGATGTATTAATATGTATTTCGCATTTGAAATATCAGCTCTTTTTTATGTTCACGTAAATATCATTTTACATTTATCTCATTCCTATATCTGCGGTTATAGTTCACGTTATATACTCATTTTTCTCTTTTTCGCTCTTTTACGGATATTATTACGGAAGTTTATAAAATTACGAACTTTAATAATTTAGCAAAAAAGAAAAATGAAAAGATAATTCTGTTTGTCAACTTCCAACATTACAATATCTTAATAACTCTCATTAACGGAAGTAGCGAACATGGTACGTTGGGAAGAAAAAATATTGTACCTAATCAATATTGCAATGTAAAGTACTTATGTCGCTCTATCGACTCCCCTGAATAAAAGAAATTCCCATTCAATTAAAACTTCTCCTTCACGTAAATGAAATTCTGATAGAAAGAAAATGCAAATCGTTCCCTCGTCGAATCCGGAGATTCGCGCGCGAGCGACAGCTAGTCGCTTTATCCGCCACGCTTATCCCGAGAGATCGAATAAAATCGCATTGCCGGTCGCCCTGCTGATCTCGCGGCTGCGCGAAAATACCGGTCGATTGCGTTGTGTCGCCATGAAGGAAGCGATCGCGCGCGGGCATTGCCGGCGAAACGTTGGCGCGAGGGAACGATTGCCGCAATGGTACTTCCGAAAGTTCCGCGAAAGTACGACGCTATGAGGCGATAAAAGCTGCCTGGATGGAGTCCCTCAAAACGACCTTGGAACTTCAGACTCGCCATACAGAACGGCCATAAGCGAGGCCATCCTGAAGCTCCAGGAGGAGGGGAAGCTTCATATGCTGAAAACGCGCTGGTGGAAGGAGAAGCGAGGCGGCGGATCCTGCAGGGTGAGCTAATATGTATTTTAAAGAAAATTTGCGCGGTTTATCTGTAATCTCAGGATGTGCGAGTCTTAATAATAAAATTTTGGAAAGCTTGTTATATGAAAACGAGAATGACTATACGTAAAATTTCAACTCCGATTTGCACAAAAAGATTAATTTAACCCGTAAAGGCTACGTCTCTTTTAAATGGTTTTTTTAACACGAAATTTTGAAAACAATTACGTCCTTTTTTCGAAAATTTAATATTACCGCAATTGATTGGTCAGAAAATTTTACATTGAGAAATACACATTTTGCTTTAATTTTGTTTTTTATTTTCAGAAGATATAAAACTTTAAAAATGCTTGGTGCGAATTCGCACCCAGGTGTCGTTTACGGGTTAAAGAAAACAAATCTGCAAGAAGAAAAAAGATATTTTTGACAGAAAATAGAACAGATTAATTTTACAAAATCCTTTACAAAATAATTTGAATAGTCTTATCTTAACATTCTTAATATTTTTACAAAAAATACAGCATATTTGTTAAAACATAAAAATAGTTTTAAATACAATAATTGCCTTTTACTTTTCATAGTAAGCAGGGTTGGGAATGTTTCCTTAAAAACATAACGCATTACCTTTTCCATTATTTTTTGTAAAAAGTAACTCGTTATTGTTATTTATTAATGATTTTAAAAAGAGTAATGTGTTACCATTTTTGTTACGTGCAGAAAAGTAACTATTCGTTACTTTTTCATTACTTTAGTTATAATACTAAAATAAATTTATTTGCTAATCATTATTATAAATGTAATAATAAATATTAAAACTTGAAACTTTTTAAACTAGTTTATATGTACAGCAAATTTTTCTTTATATTATTTTTTAAATAAAAAGTTAAGATTAAATGTATTGTTTTTAAACATTAATATTATTATTAAAAATGTATTCCAATATTCACTGAAAACCTATAGTATATAGCTATATAGATGTGTAATGTGAATTATAGATTTTCAATACTGATAGTGATTATGAGAGTGTAACCTAACCTAAGAATACAAAATATTTTTCAAAAAGTAAATTAAGAATATATTATAAGAATATATTAAAATGAGAAAATAAAAGAATAAAAAAGTAACAGTAAATTCGTTACCGTTACTTTTAAAAATGTAACGACATTACCGTTATCGTGACAGACAGAAGAAAGTAACAATCATTATTGAAAAAAAAAGTAACAAAAACGGCTACAAGTAACGCGTTATTTCCCAACTTTAATAGTAAGGCAATGAACAAAAGCTTATTGATCTTCATTACTTCATATAGGATTTCTACCTATTTTAATCAATCGTTTCTTATTGTAATTTCTTTCCGTTATATACATATATTTTATCTGATATGATTTTGAGTAAAAAGAAATCCGTGTGAATTCGCTTTTTAATCCATCGTCATTTCCCATACTTTTCCCATGAAGGATATTCCGGTGCGCTATAGCGCACTCAAGAAGTGCGCGTTCGAAATTCTTGCGCCAGACTCCAGCAACTCCCCTCATCCGTCAGGGACGAGAGGGCTGCCGGAGGTTGAGGCGGCACGCGGGGAAGACTATTTCGCGAATTCGCGAAATCGGAGGTTTCGCCGAGCTCGCGATCATCGTTGCGCGCACTGCTATTTCTCGCGCAGCCACGCCGATAAATTCTTCCGATAATTCACTGGCTTCTCCTACCTCGAGCAAACTTGCCGCCGCGCCGTTTGACGGACGAACGTAGATGGATGATTATAACTACGCAAGGGGCATTGAACTCTTCGATGTCATTCACCATTTGCAACTATTTTAAAACGATGAAAATTTAATTTAACCTTTAAACCACTATATCGGTCTCACAGACCGCTATTGAAATGTGACTTGTCAACTATTTTCTTATTTGTCACCATTTAAATATAGTTTATTTTTATTGTATACAAGATTTTTTTGTTAACCCTCACATTAAAACATAGTTTTCTTTTCCCCCATCACAAATATTCAGGAAACATACATTTATTATACATAACTTATAAAATTAGCGAGAGCATATAATAGCGGTCTGTCAGACCGACATTGTGGTTAGTGTGATTTTTTTGGGATATGGTGGTTTAAAGGTTAACATTTATTCTGTGTCTTGAAAGCTATAATTATTAATTTTATTTTAAAAGTAAAAAGACAGTATCAATAAAGAAATTCCAATATTAAAGAAAGTATACTAATTTATTATTATTAAATTTTAATTTTGTGCTGTAATTAATAGGGAACCAGGTAAAATTGTGTTTTTTTCTCTTTGAAGAAATAAATTTTATGTATAATAAAAGTAAATGTTTTTGCTGTCGCAATCTTAAATATTTACCATTAATCAGATATAAAAATATAGCTGTATACAGAAAAAAAGAAGAAAACTACATACACAAAAATATTCTTAAATTCACAATATTTTTAAGGTTTAAAGTATAGATTCTTTTTCGCGTAAAGTTCGACTAAAAGATTTAAACGCTTTAAAAGTAACGTACCGATTGAAAGATTTAACAGCCAATATCCTATACCTGCTCTCCTCTCAACACTTTAATCCATCAGCCGAAGTGCGAGTAAGGCGCGATCAAATTTTCGCAATATTATCCACGACGTGCAATCCACTGCGAACCGCTTCAATAATGAACACCCCGAGCGCGAAAGCCGCGCGTGCATTAACGACGTGCACAACGGGCTAAACGCGAAAACCACCGTTTCCCCAGCGGCGCATTACCCATGCAGCGCGGGCAATATTCTACCTGTAACCGCCCGCGTTAATGCGCCACAGGCTAATCGATGTTTCTCTCACGGTTAGGACGACACCTCGAAGAGCAGCTCGGCGGCGAACGAGCTCGGCCTGGCAAACGTCGGCGGTGTCTTCGTGGTGCTGATGGGCGGCATGGGCGTCGCCTGCGTGATCGCGGTCTGCGAGTTCGTGTGGAAGAGCCGGAAAGTAGCCATCGAGGAACGGGTGAGTGACGTGAAATAGCACATGAAGGTGGGTCGCGCAGTAACCACGCCGGAAATCACCCGCGCGTCAGGATCCGCCGCCGCCGCCGTCGTTGCCGTCGCCTGCACGCGGCTGGATCCCGACGCGATCTATCCCGACATACCGCGCGAGTACATCAGTTGATGCTCGCACGACGGTGGAGTTCCTCTCTAATGGTCTCAATACAGAATCACTCGGATCTGATCGCTCTCGCACTGGCTGGAGGATGATCCTCGGCGATATCGACGATGTCGTCGGCGAGAACGATGAAAAATTACAGTCCCCGCGCGCGCATAATTTCCCTCATTTTTTTACCATTAACGGCCGTCGTTACTCTCATTCGTCATTATTCCTATTGTCTCGCTGTGCGCGAATATCGTCGTTAGTCGGACAAGCGGTTAGACACTCGCGTCTGTCCTTGCTCGCCACTGAGGACATGTCACTTCAAATTTTTACGCGAAATTTCTATGCCTAAAGTAAAAAAAGGGGGAGGGAGCAAATAGTGTCACTTTAAATTTCTTCTCTTTCCCGCGTCTATTTTACCACTACTCGTTAATAGAAAAACAGTTCTCAAGCATTTAATCATCTTCTGAAAAAGCCGTAAAAATCAAAAGCCAAATATAGCTAGCGGAGAAGTTTCAAACTTTGCATTTGTGAAAATAAGGTAAAACCTGAATCTTTTTTTATATTTGAAGTTATATTTTCTTAATTGCTGAATCGTTGAATGAGATCTAACCTATTTTATGTTATACCTTTTTTACTCTATTTTGATATACACTTCTCAACAAAATTAAAGCATCACTTACTCTACCCTCCAAAAATAGGCAAAATTCGAGAGAATGTAACTTCGTCAAAAATGATCGTATCGAGATGTTCAAAAAAGCATTTTATAGCTTGAAATCTCTACTTTCCAAATCGGTACTTGAGAAAACGATCCTACTGATCTTTCATGGAATTACACGGATAGAAAGGGAGACCCGACGAATCTCAAAATTTTTTGCGAACTTTGACAAGTTCCATGGGGCGAATAAAAAATCGCATGCAAATGCAGTTTGCAGCTTTCGAAAGAGTGAATCTTTACCTTCAATTTGCTTTTTTGTTCAGCGTTGTACGATGTTTTTCCACCGAGTTATTCAACATTGAAGCAAAAAGGACTACTTTTGCTTTAATGTTGAATAACTCGGTGAAAAAAAATCGTACAACGCTAAAAAAAAAAGTAAATTAAAGGTAAAGATTCACTCTTTTGAAAGCTGCAAACTGCATTTGCATGCGATTTTTTATTCGCCCCATGGAACTTATTAAAGTTCGTAAAAAATTTTGAGATTCGTCGGGTCTCCCTTTCTATCCGTGTAATTCCATGAAAGATCAATAGGATCGTTTTCCCAAGTACCGATTTAGAAAGTAGAGATTTCAAGCTGTAAAATGCTTTTTTGAACATCTCGATACGATCATTTTTGACGAAGTTACATTCTCTCGAATTTTGCCTATTTTTGGATGGTAGAATAAGTGATGCTTTAATTTTGTTGAGAAGTGTAATTCCTATGCTTGTATATTAATTTTATTTCTCTCAGTAAAGTTTTAAAAGAAAAAGTAGCTTCTGGGGCAAATTATAATGACAATTTTTAGTTGGGTAAATAATAACAAGTCAAAAAGTTTTTTTAATATTTGAATATAATTGTTCTAATTCATTTGGGATAATATGAAATTAGTCACAAGGCAAGATCCAAAATAAATGTGATTTTCAATAAAAAATACTAGCAAATAATGTTACTACTATTATTTATCAATAAATAAAAATTACGTATGGTAGAGTATAGAAATTAATATCAATTACCTTATCTAATTAAAAAGTCAAAAGAAAGATCGATTAGGAGCTATAAATTATGTATTTTGTAATTGTCCCATGGGGTGTCATTATTTACCCATAGAGGCAAATAGTGACAAATGTAGGTTTCAGTTTTTATGAAAATCTAGCCCGTATACATAACTTATTAAAACTCTATAATTAAGTTTTTCGTATATTTGAAAGTGAAAAGTACTCTTTTAGTGAAAAATCGTATCTTGTAAACTTGAAATTAGCTTGTATAAGAGGAAAGAGGAAAAAATCCTTCACTATTTACCGCCCCCTTCCTTTATTCATGACAGAAGAGTAAGAAATCCAAAAAATTCAAGCCCGAGCTTTTCATGTGCGAAAAACAGAAAAAGTGAGAAAGATTTCTAGAAAATTATTTTAATTACTACAACGTTTGAAAGAGTTAATCTTTACATAATTATCGCGTCTTTTTCCAAAAATTTACTTTTTGAATTAAAAACTTCTGAATAAAAAAAAGATTCAAGCTCAATCTTACATTTTTAAATACATATTTTTAATGTTAAAAAGAGTTAGGACGGTTGTTTTAATCCCAATCTGAATATTACTTGCACACATGAATAGAAAGTCAGATTCAATGGCATACGCAACAGCGTCGTCGTGATTACCGTGGAGACGCATAGAAGCGTAGTCAATGAAAACTTGATGAAAAAATTCCCGGCGAAATTCGTGTTGGCCGAGCGCGGAGAAAATGGAATTAGCGTATGCAAAGTCCCGCGCTATACGCACTCACGATGACCGGCACGCGGTTTGAGCAACACATGAATTCTCGGGCCAACGTTTACATATATTCAAAGGGGCAAGCAAACAGGCAACTATTTGAGGAGGGCTCGTCGAGAAATACGAATATGCTTTGCGCGAATCATTCCCTGCGTATATGCAAAAGCAAACAGCTCTATGAGCTGACGGACCGTCGGTGGTATTACTGCGTCTCCTTTCAAACCGCGCAGAGAAGGGACTCTCGCGGAGGGACGCATTTTTATGAGCGAGGCCCTCTCCAAAAATTTAAATCGGCTTAAATCGATCACGAAGGACGAGATTCGCATTCCGCGGTGAATGGTAACGGCTTTCGAACAGATCGGGCGGCGTACTTGAATTTTTATGATATGTAAGTCTTCTTCTGATATGGGGGGATATAAGGGACGTATCGTCGTTATCGTAATGGCTATCGCAATATTGATCGCAACAAAACACAATATATCGTAATAATAAAATAATGCCGTAAACAACAAATAATTGAAATAAATGTATTAATGATCTTTTTCGGATTACGTATACATATATGAAATCAGCTTCCATTTTCCATCGTGAATAGGAATGATTAATCACGATGCTCACGGATAAGAAATTGATATGATAACTGACAATAAATAATTTCTAATACGTAATTTTATATTGACAAAGAGTAACAATGAGAGAGCATGGTAGAATTACAAGTTACTTTTGTTTGCTTTTCAAATAAGCGTCGACAATTAGCGCACTTCTTTTCCCGCTTTGATTACTGCAATAATAACTAATATTACAAATCTGACTCGGGCATTTTGGTGTTCTGTTCTAGAAGCAGAAATCCTCGGGGAAACCGATCTGCGAAGGTTTTACTGATCTGCACTAGCGACGGTACGCGCTGCACAGCGAGAAAACAGATTGTTAAACTCAAGCCGTACCTCAATGCGTATCCGATCCGAGTTCAGTGGACCTAAGGAAGAACTCCATCACACGAGAGATCGGAAAAACTGTATAGAGATCGTAAAATTATAGGAATAAACGAAAATAATCGGACAAGAGAAGCAATGAGCCTTGATCTTTCCAATTTTCCTCCTAAAATTCTGTCAAATACAAATTTAATTTAACGAAACAGTTTGCAAAGTGCAGAAATATTTTTTCTTCGTCGCTCGCAGTTGCTCATAAGAATATAATTTACTTAACATTTTGATGCATGGATCAATCTGTCTCTAGAGTTATACAGGGTGTCTCAAAATTCGCGGATTCAAAATACTAAAGTTCTCGAAAAATTAAGTAAATAAATTATTAAGTTTTTATTCTGCAGTATTTTAATTATTGTATTAAGCAGTAGATTTTAACATATAAGGACTAAATAAAACTGGATAATTATAAACTATCTTTAGATCACTTGTCACGCAGTCACTAAACTACCGTACGCGCGAGTCACTCAATGATCATCTAATTGTAAATGTGAATGACCAGCTTTCAATTTTTATATTTCAAAAACTACTTCTTTTGTGAAACAAACATTTATAAATAATTATTTTACTTAATTTTTCGAGAACCTTCTTTTTTTATTTCTTTCAATATATTATTTCTATTCATGACAAACAGACTATTAAAATTCAATTAATGGTACCAAATTTCTAATAAAAAACGTACGATTATCGAAACATACATAATAAATAATCAGATTCAAAAGACGGCGTAAATGAAGATTGGAAAGGTCAACGTGTTTGCCATTTGCTCATATCAAAACTTAGATTAATAAACGAAGACTTTAAGCCTCGCAATCGGAAAGGCCAAAAGTCCTTTCTCGCGAAAATGCAAACGTTTCAATCGACATGAAAATACTTAAAAAAAAAAGCAAAAAACAAACCGCGGTGTTCACAACTTGTAGTGCTGCGGACTTTTCAAGAACAATCACGATTTTATACCGGCTAGATAGTGAATGTATAGTATATCAGACTGCAAAACGTTTTACTGTACATAATATGTAACTGTCGAGCTAACCAATATGCGATCGTAAGTGTGCGCGGAAGTCCGTTCGCTTCTCGAGTCGATAATGTTGTCATAAGATATTGATAATTATTCGAAAGAGCAAGTGGATATAGAGGAGACTTATCGCGTTCTTGCCAAAATTGGAGCAATCAACAATTTATTATTTCCTGTGATACATATAAAGATATTAAAAATAAGGATAAATAACAATACATTCTCTTGATTAATGTTATATTTTTTCTTATACTTCTTTTGTATATTAATGTTATGTTTTTTCGTATACTGTATGTATAAATATATTACATTTTATATTTTATTATATAAAAGTATAAGATTTTTTCTCCGATTTTAAGAAAGTCATTTTTGAAACTCGATCCTCTTCGGGACTTTTTGATTTTTGTAAGTAACAATTTTTTATTTCAATTTTCCCTCAAGAATAAATGATTTCGTATTTATCAAAGGATGTAATTATAAATTATCATATTCTTACTCTATATATTGTAATATCTAAACCGTTGATATAGATTTTAATGAGAAATTAACCAACGCACACAGGACAAGTACAATATTACATTAGAAAATAATCACCTTTATCCACATGCAGCTTTCGCCGCAAATGTAAAGTATTTCCGATCCATATGAAGAAGCTTGCGGACTTCCAAAAAATTTCGTTATTGAATAGACAAATCTCTGTGTCATGGCGAAGTAACTTGTACGGAAATTGCAATTTTCGAAATGTTGCATTATTTATAGACGTAAATGAAATTGAAAGGACGCGCATTGTGTGACAGTTTAGTATGACATTGTTAGTTGTGTCGCAATGTTTCTTGCTTCTCTCCCGTCACGGATTCACAGGAGGAGGTGAGCACTTTTATCTTTTACATTATATACATTGTCAGTATCGTTACATAGATCCTTTCTTAAAGCTATAAAAATTACATCAAATTTAAACGTTAAAAGTTTTGAAATTTATAAACATGCAAGACAATAATTTATTATTTGCATTAGTTAAAATTTTTTACTGAACTTTCTTAAGATACTCCAAAATAATTTTATCAGCAAAATCTTTTATCTTCAATTGTTTCTTCTAACATTCATTTAGTTATACATTATTGATTACAGTTTTTTAAGTGATATTCGTTTTTCAGCTCAAGCTCTTCGGATAACAATTTTATCAACAAAACTTTCAATTGCATCTTCGTAAACAAAATGAAAACTAATAAAATCGCGAGTTTCAGTGTTTCTGAGTTTAAGCTGAACGACTTATTCACGATTCAATATGTGAGCTTTTCGCAATCGTCTTTTCGTGGAACTTTCAGAAGTCCTCGGTGTGCTCGGAAATGGCGAGTGAATTGCGATACGCTTTGGACTGCGGCAACGGAAATAAAAAGCCGTCGAAGGCGCTTTGTCGACGTCAGGGGCAACATTCAAGTCTGTCGATCGTTTCGGAGGAGGGCAAGTACGGGGCATGCAACAAGTACAGGCACTTCGTTGGAAAAGCACCTCTGACATGAACAAAGGGACGCCTGACCGAGCGGAAGGGCCGAGTGATGAATTTCTTTGCCAAGTTAATTGCTTCCCCGCTCACGTGCGAATTAAAATATACATGATTGATCAATTCGAAACGCGGGAGCAACGGTCCGGAAAAAGAAATCGCCGCAAAAATAACAAAAATTATTTCTGAACTGCGAAACCACTTTCAAATGTAACAAAAAATATGTGAATTATCCTCGGGCAAAATTGTAGCGAGATTGAATTTTGTTTAAAAGTCAAACACAAATTTTGTTACTACGTCTTCTGATGGGAAAGAAAAAAAGAGAAGGCGCCGTCAAAAGCTCTCAGCATCGGAAGGATCCTGTTGTAGATCCCGTTGCAATCGGAAATTCGACCGCGATTGTGACGATGTGCAAAGAAAAAAGGAAACAGGGACTTAATTCTAATCGTATACACGTCTGTCCTTTTTTTACGAACCACGTACCGTTGAATAAGATAGTCCACCACCTAGTCCCTCGTAAGGTCTGTTGAGTGTTATGCGAGGAGGATGCGTGCGAGAAAATAACGAGCGAATGAAGAATAAGAGTCGTGCGTGGAATTGGGTGATCTTTTATCGACGTTAAAGATGCACTGTTCACGTTATATCACGTAAAGTATTCTATTGAAGTCAATCCGAATATGTCGTCATCCACGTACGTAAATTTGTTCGGATATACGATAAATTACACGCGCGTACAACAGCGATTTCAGAGGTCTCCACGTAATGTATAAATAACGCGAAAGGTTTTTTCACATATAATTCCACCTTTAATCTGCGAGACCTGAATATCGCGAATGGTCATTTGCACTACTTTATAGCGCAATCCAACGTTTCGTGTGTGTGATTCGCGATAAGTAGTTAAAATTTTTGAACATACTTTTATCCGAAATTCATTCCTACCCTTAGCTGGTCTGACGGGGTCCATAAGGTCATCGAAGTATTATTTGAGTAAATTAGAATTAATTGTCTAAGCTATTCTAATTATCCCGACTATGTAGATAATATATTTCAAGCCGCGTTCGCGTGATGCATTGTCAATAATCAAATTCAATGCAAAAGACTGCTCTATACTCTCCTACCAGGATTATTTTCGTAGAATACACGTCTCGTGTTGATTTGTTTGTCCAATTACGTTTTCGTTCGATCGCGTTTATGCGGACCTTGTGAACCAAGCAGTATTCATTTGAGTCTTCCTTCTATCGTAAAAAAAGAGGGAAAAATGTAAGGAAAAAACAAGCATCGCGATTCCAGTTTAGTATATTTAAACTCTCGAAAAAGAGTGCCGTATAAATCAGAGTATGAATGTTCGACGCCGTGTTGAAAGAGTGTGTGACATTTCAATAGCTTGTACGCGGATACTATTTTAAGATCATGCGTAACAGCAAAGAGAAACATTAAAGAACGTTTTGTTTTTTTTCTTTTACACAATAAAAAACATTTTGTATTTATGTTAGAAACGGTCCACTTACTTTTTGTTAAAATTTTGTGTTGGCATTTTTAAACATATTTAAGTGTTAATTTAACATAATGTGATTATGGTATTTAAATATTTTGTGTTAAATTAATATTTAACATTTTTTAGTGTCAAAATAATACAATTTATAAGTAAGTGAACGAATAACATAAAAATAATGTGTTTTAAAATGTAGTAAATGAATAAAATACATGTTAATTTAATATAGATGTTAATTTTATTGAAAAAATATGCTTCTACAGTTTGCTTAGAAATTGTGTCAGGGTTACATTTTTTGTATTCATTTTTTAATATAATATTTATGTTATCTTCTGACATATTTATCTTATGTTAAATTAACACAAAAATTTAAGTGGACCGTTTGGAACATGTGAAATGTGTTAAATGTAACACAAATTTTTCGACAGTGTATACTTGCACCTCCCATAAGGATTTCGTTTCTCTCGACACAGTTTACCGAATTCTGAATGCAAACCATAGAAAAGTACGTACACATACATATATATATATATGCATGCACACACACACACACGTACACTTACATACAATATACTTACTGTAAATATCGTCGATACTATTACATATTTGTTACATACTTCCGTTCATATGTCGCGACGTACGAGTTTGTTAAACGCCTATCGCGATTCTACTTCTTATATAAAATGTAATACAAGCATCAACACATATTAAACGTGAATAAATTAATCGTCTGTAAATTCTCATTCAAACGCTATATTGTAAATGCCTTCATCACACCCTGTTCCTCGATTGACCGGCTATATTGTTGTTTGAACCGTAGCAACCGTGCAGCTAGCCTTATAGCTAACTGTATTGTTCAATAATTCTCTGTTGTTTTAAATTGTTTTGATAAATAAAATTAAATGCCAAATTAAATTATAAATTATACATAAATCTTAATCTTAAATGAAATTATATGAAAATAAAAATCTTAATGTTACAATATTATAAACATGCCAATGTATTTACTTTATAAATTATCCTTATATACCCATTTATTAATTAATATATGTATCTAAACATATGTTGATTTTATATAAGAGACATTCTCTATAATGAACGTATTTTGCTTTTGATCAAATACAAATTTGATTTTTTACATAATGTCCGAGATTAAAACACAAAAATAAAAATAACAAAAAATAACACTACTAATTTGTACTGTAGGTAAAAATTAATTAAGTGCGAATGATAAGAATTTAAAAAATTAATATTAAAATTAAAACAATAACATCTTTTCTTTTATTTTTAAGTGGTAATATTGCGAGATAATTATAATTATCACATTTCACATTAATTGCTTGGTGATTATACTTTTAATTGCGATTGTAATCTTGATTCACGCAACTAATTTCTTTAACACCTAAATTAATATGCTTTCTCAGCTGCACCCTTACAATTAGTACCAGAGTATTAACGTAATTAAGTTTAATGTAGATGGATGTAAATACATGTAGAACGTATTGCTATAAATACTTTTGAATAAGTTCTATGATAACATCATGTCCAACATTTTGCAACACATGTAAATAGTCATTTCCGATGTATTCTTGCCTGTTGAATTCAAATTTGATTAACACAATCATACTACAACATGAAAATTCCTTCAAAATCGTCATTTTTTGTCTTTTTGACGTCATTCTTCTCAAAATTGTGACGTCTGTTTTCCAAATTGGAACAATAAATTTGTTTAGCAAGCAAAAATACATAAAAAATAATTATTCACACTTGTGTTTCAGAAAAAGAAAAAAAATTTTGTCAGACAGTGTAATTATTGCTAACAATATAACGTAGGAAATTGAGAAAATTTTAACATTTTCCAAATATGTCTCTTCTTTCTTTGGAGAAGGCAAAAACTAATTTTGCAACAGCCCGTTAATGCAAAGTAGCCATTCATATCTTTGCAGAGTTTTAAATAATAGATACTTAATAGATAAATATTGAGATACAGATAAATATATCTAAACAAATTTGAGATTTTCAAAAACTATCTTTTTCCGATTCTTTCGCAGCGTGAAATCAAATGAGTATAAAGGCCGTTGAGATCAGTTTTAGTTTAGTTTACGTTCGCGACGAAGAAGTGATAAAAAAAAATAGATAGTGTACATATAGAACGCCATAAAAAAATTTCTTAAAATAAAATATCTCTTTAAAATTCCTCAGGTTCCTATGTAGTTGACGCTGACTAATTCTTGCCGTTTCCCTAAAAGTAGACACCATCGTACATTAGATTCCCACTCCGTCCGCCCGACGACGACGCGGACGACAAGCGCTCTTCGTCGCCGCGACGGATCCACGAAAATCTGGGAAGGGAGTGAGTTTAGAGCATGCGCTGCCGGGATGAGCCGCGCGAGAAGTGCCGTTCGGATTTAGAGTCGCGTGCCGCGCGAGTTTCGTTCGGTAAAGCACGCGTCTCAAAAGTTCCGTGCCAAGTGGAACGAGCCGCAACATCACGTTTTTAGGTAAGCCCTTGCAAGCCCTTCGAGACGATGATCCTCTCGCGAGGAAATCGCGTCTCTGTCGCCTATCAGTTGAATCCTCCCCTCCCCCTTCCACCCCCCCCACCGCCTTCCCGATACGTGCTTCAATTGGTATAAGACTCGCGTGTAATTCGCGCCGCGCTTCTATTCCCTCGAAAAAGTCTCCTCCACCCCTAGAATATTCCAGCCAGTGACTGAGTCTCAAACGATCAAAGTAAAACGAGTTTGGAGAGAAGTCTGGAAGATTGGCCTGGACAAGGTTTGTCTTTTCAAACTCTACTCGACGCTAGTACGACTACGCATTTGATAAAGTGAGTAGATTTATTCTCGGGAAAAATACCCTCGTGTCGCCCAATATCGCAGTAAGTACATAAAACAAAGAAGGTTATAGAGGAGATAGGGCGGATAAATTCCCGAGGCACACGAGAAAATTGCATGCAACGGCGATTCTCTGCAAGAACACTTTCGATATCGTGTCCCGTCGAAATCTATGTCACACGGCGAACGCGACAAGCACCAGTGGCGGCGGCGATGCTCGGCGTCTAAATATATCGATGTAGTTATGTGCTTTAAGATTTTCGTTAGTTTTCCATGTTGTGCCGATGTCGTACGTGTGCTGGACCGACGTCCAAAAGCCTTGATCGCAGCCGTCCGCGGTGCTTACTTGATTATTTATTCCGCGCAATGCGATTGGACGGAACCGACGCACATTGCGGCGAAATATCTAAAATCGCCGCTGATAAATAGGCATGAATGCGTGCTCGCCTTGAATGAATGAATGAAAAAGAAGGCGCCAGACTGCGTGCACTTGGCATGATGACAGTAGGCTACGTGGAAATCCGAATGCGTGCGATGTCGCTAAAAATTCGCGCTCTCAAGGTAGACGCTCTCCGGTCATCTCCGGCGAATCAAAGATATTCAAGAGGAATATTTACGTGGCTTCACGACATTAATCATTTCGAAATCGATATATCATTGATCATAACATTAACTCACGTATTTACGAATATATAACTTGCACTTGTAAAAATTTTTGTAACTTTTCATCTACATTTTCTTTTTTGAATACTTTGAAAATTAAAATTTATATACGAAAATTTCAAGGAATATTTAATTGTAGACAATCAAATAATAAAAATGTAAATTACTTTAAGAAAAACTATGAAGGATAATTCTTCTCTAAACACGTGTATTTAAATTTATCTTAATAAAAATTTAAAGAAATATTTAATTATAATCAATAATTGAGAATGTAGATCACTTGAAAAAAAACTAAAGAATTCAGTTTCAAGAGCGTAAAGCTAATGCAACATCTTTTTTTCAACTAATTTAATTATTATTTATTATATAATTGTTATATATTATAATTTATTTAAACAGTAATTTAACTTAATTGTTTATATAAAATTATGTGAAAAAATGTCTGTGTCTATAAAATAATCAAACAAAAATTTCCAAAATAAAAACTTTTAATAGCTTCATTTCTTAAAACTTTATTGTAAAAATTTATAAAAACACATTAATTTGTGAAAAAAAGAAATATGTATTATTCATTTCATTAAGGTAATTACATAGTTTATTTCAAAAAGTTTCTTTTGGTAACAAAAAGAATTTTAATATAATTAACTATTTTATTTAACAAATTGAGTAAAGCAAAATGCGTAATGTTTTATTTATATTTTTATATACAATTTGAGGAGTAATAACCTTGTATATAGGTATTTAAAATATCTATTCGATTAGAAATCATGTATCAATATGAAAAGTTTTAAAATAAAATAGTTAATTTTAATCAATAAAATTTGGTTAGGGGAGATCTGAATTTGCCCAAGAATTTTTTAATAAATAAGAAAAAAAGTATGACAATTCTCGCACGCATCTAAATTATCGAAATTAGTATTGTGTGTAGCTAACAAATTATTGCTTATATAAACATGTTATTATTGATTTACTTAACGGCACGCAGTCTGAGAATCGCTGTAACAACATGTAAGGAGACAGACAGAAAAAGAGAACTTATTTTTGCAACAGATAAAATAAACTTGGAAAAGTAACGTAACGTATCCCTCAGAGGGATCCTCGGTAGGGATTTATTAAGAGTATAAGCATCAAGCAAATAACTAAACTCAATATTGGAAGATTGATTTTAAACGGGTCTAAATATTTATGCGCGCCGAGAGGGATTTTCAGGCGGCGCGGTGCCTTCTGGTTAGTTTATATAACGTCGGCCAGTTAAGTGCTCGTTCAAGACCTTTCCATTTGGCTTATACGTACGCCTCGTACGTGCCGTTTATATCTGACTTTGTTGGATACACATCTGCACCTGTCAAGATGCTCACCAGTAGGCTGATGCATTTTAATATCTATTCATTGTGTGTGTACGCAGAATGATCATAAGATGGTGACCAAGCTTCTTCTGATATTATTGCCGATATTCCTGTCCTACGTGTGTGTGCTAGGTGCTTTCCCAAAAAAGGTCCCGATAGGTAAGATAAACGTTTACTAACATAATTAACTAATAAAATAAATAAAATGCAGAAGGGTGTTATTTACATATTTATTTTTTATTATACGGATTTTAAATCTATAAGTGCAATCTAAAATCTCTACAAGCAAGTACAATCCTTACAATACATTTACAATATCAAAAGATTTATTAATATTTGTTATGAATTATAGCTTCAAAATAGTATTATCTTACAATATTTATTAAATCTACCAGCATATTTAAATCTTTTAATTCTTATTACTGAATTTTCGCAACATGATTGTGGAGGCAATATATTATATAATGTTAATGCTTTTAAATATTAAAAAGAAACGTTGTAAAAATTGTGTTGAATCAAGCTTGAGTGACCTAAATTAAGCGCACTATTTTACGGAAGAGCTATTTTGTAAACTATTTTATAAGCTAATTTGGTCGAGTCAGTAAAACTCGATTTTAAAAAGAGTCGACCATATTACAGTCGGGCTGTTCGATCAAGATGAAATAATCCAACGGTTGTTCGAATCGTCGGTGACAGCAGTGAACAAAGATAGGTATAATAACATGGAGCTTTCGAATGTATTCTTGATATCTGAAACGGAAGAGATTAAAACGGACCCGTTCGAAGTATCATCGAAAGGTGAAGTTGATAGTGAATATTGAAAAGATATCACCGCGTTGATAGAAAAGTGACCCAAGTTAAAAATTATCGTTTTCGAAATAATGAAATGAAATCGACTAAAGGCTAACATATTTTTTTTTAATGACACATTTCTAACTCTCTCAATTTATCGCTACAGAACAGAAGTGTCATTTGTTTTCTGATCAAAATTAGCATTGATTATTTATAGAAAAGAGATATTTTTTAAATTAGATACCATAAAAAATGTTATCGGTGATGAAATAGTTATAGAAAAACGTTCTATTTGATGTTATGTAATTTTTTTCTTAAAAGGTAAGTGTATTTTAATTAGTTTCATTTATAGAAATAGATTTTATTTAAAGTTGACATTGTTCTGTGTATTTAAGAAGTAAAACGTTTAAAATTGCTTTCAATTTTCCAATGTTTCAAACCTCCAATTTAGAAATGTAACCTTTTTTTCCAAATATTAGTATTTTTGAAATATGACATACTCAAACTGCTTGTCAATGGACAAAGATCACAACTCTGATGAGGGATAAAATTTACTTTATATTAAGATTGCAATGTTTAAATTTAAAAAATGATATAGTAAAGAATACATTATAATTAAAAGTATAACATAAAAAGAAAGTGAATTATGTATATTTACTATCCTAATTAAAATATTGTTCCAATTCAGAATTTTAATAATGTTCTACTGAAAAATGATTAATTTTGAGGTACTTTTCTATCGATGCGGCAATATGTTTGATAGATCATATTATTCAATATATCACGCGTTTAATATTAAATGACTGATTATCCTGATACCCTATTATAAGCTTGTTAATATTAATATGATTTTGAACCAAAAATTTTAATAAATTGAATAGTAGACAATCACATTTACTAAAATGGTACAATTACATGTACTAAAAATAATTTTTAAATTGAAATTATATTTGTTTAAATAAAATATAAACACAATTAATTTATCTTTGTAAAAACTATATTTTTACATAACACAAATTTTCCCAGAAGATACTAGAAATATCAGTTAATAAATAATTATTTTTCCAAATTGTGATCAAAATTTTGCAAATAGTGTTATATGCGTGTACTTTTGCAATACAATTTATACAATCGATTTTTCGAAATGTTTAGTATGCGAACTGCTAGATCTGGGAATAGTGGGTGTTTTTGGACCTCAAGAAAAAGTGGTCGCCGAGCACGTGCAAAGCTTGTGCGATGCAATAGAAGTACCATACATCTCTGTGCGACAGGACTTTGATCAACTCTCTCGACCGCGCGGATTAGGTTTAAATCTATATCCACATGTGAACTCATTAGCGCGAGTAAGTAGCTAAAATTTGAAAGATTGATTATTATAATCGCACTATATACGTTGTAACTGTAATATAAATAAGTAATATAAAACACATATATAATTTTGTATTTTTTCCCAAAGAAAATTTATTTTTTCAAAGAAAATTATCAATTATCTGGTTACGCAAATATAATGTACTGTCTGCATTAGCTAAAAAAATAAAAACTAATAAATCATTTATAATATCGTAAAATAATAAATATATAACATCTAATATTCTATGCTTCTAATATTTTTGCATTCAACATTTTTTAAATTTTAATTTTTGCTTTATTCCATGCGCCTTCTTATAACACATTATTCACCTAATAATCGATAATAATCGCCAACGAAACTTCTACAGGTTTATAATCAACTCGTCATAGAGTTCAAATGGAAATCCTTTGCAATATTGTATGAGAACGCCGATAGTCTGGTTCGTATGCGTTTACTGCTGAAACGATGGGACTCACATGGCAACTCTGCATTTGTATACCATCTAGGCTACGGACCGAGTTATAGGTATGCAGTAAGAAATATTTATGTAATCTTACAAAATCGTTAGTAGGTACGCAGTAAAAAATATTTATGTAATCTCACAAAAATAAGTATCTTAAAAATTTTTCAATCTCACATGGCAGCTCTGCATTTATATATCATCTAGGCTACGGACCGAGTTATAGGTATGCAATAAAAAATATTTATGTAATCTCACAAAAATAAGTATTTCAAAAATTTTTCAATTTCGCAATCACGGGAAAATTGGTCATCCTGTCCCAGCCAGAAGTGATTAGTTAAATTGATGTCAATTTGATCGTCGATGCGTCGATGCAATGGATGAATGTTAAATATTGTCTGATATTTTTGTCATTTTCAGCCTTATTGTAATTGTTCTTAAGTTAATTAACTAATTAACGTATAGATTACTTTTATCTTTTGGCCAATTCCATATCGAATACACAATATAAGTATATATAACAGTACTTTCCAGCTTGATATCGATTCTCTTGTTACGTTAAATCGAATTTTAATTATTTAAAAGGAATCGTTTAGAAACGAGAAAGATGGGGAAGAAGGGGTTTAAAAGAACGCAGGTCAGACACTCTGTCTCACGCACAGAAGTGTGCGCTGCGAATCGAGCGTGCCTTTATACGAGTTTGGAAAATGAGTCAACGTTTTGAAAACGATGCTATAACTCAATTTCTCAGATCAGCGCAATCGTCAATCCTAATTTCGAGACAAAGAATTTAATCCCTATAAGCCAAGACTGGACCACGTGAGATTTTTATATGGGAATTAGGAAATGAGTGAGTGAAGTCTCTTAATTTAAAGAAAGAATGAGATGATTATATAACGTTACTAATAATTATTTTAACTAAAGAAAATACAAATTTTTTGATAAATTCTTCGTTACATTATTTATTTTTCATTCTAATGCCACTTTACAAAAATCAAGACTTAATAGAGATTACAACATGTGCGCGCGCGCATCTTCGATTGTTCGCCAATTTTTGTTGAATTCACGGTTTACTATTAACAAGTCATTCTCAATATTACAGATTTTATTTAATTGGTCATCCATTGATGAGTTCAGTCTAAGTCACAATTAGAGTTTTGGTAATGTGCAATTTGTTACTTAATCTTTCAGAAAAACAATGTTTATTTGTCCGTTTCCCTCAGCGATTTCTTTATTATTAGTCGAACATGAGATTTCCAACTCAATTTGAGTCTTGACAGTTGAAAACAGACAAAATATATTTCTATTGTCTTTCAGGCTAAATACATATACATATGTTTCGCCTATAGTAATATGTTGCTCTAACAGAATTTTATGAGTCTGTCGCGATTCTACATCCATTAAACGGAAAATGTGTCTAGGCAGTTCACTCATTAATTTTTTTCTTATGGAAATCTGGAGTTCTTGATCTTGTGAAATCGAAGTAACAATCGAAGTTACAATAACAGACTAGATGTACGTGAAAAACGTAGCCTACTTGGAATCATTATTGTTTAGAAAATTTCTTACATTTGATTATGTCATATTTACTTAAAATAAGTTTTTAAAAAAACAAACAACAATAATTTTGTCGGATTTATATCCTGTTCACCTATCGATGACCGATATCGATTAAAATTTGTTCTTGTGTATTTTTTGTTGTAAAAAGTGATTCTGCTCCACGTACGCAAACGTGCGAAATCGTGAAATCCGCCGGATGTAATATTATATAGAATTGGCCGAAATATAATAGAAATCTTATTGAAATATTTGCAATTGCTGAATCAACGTAGAAACAATTATAATGAGGTTAAAGATGACAAAAATATTAATCAGTATTCAAAATCAACTTATCAAATTATTGACGTTTGATTCAACGGCCATTTAATATATCGATTTGACTAATTTCTGGCTGGACTTGCTTAGAAATATTAATCATGATTAACTGATTTTTTATGTTTATAATATACAAGAATCAATTTAAAAGTAAATTTTGCTATTTTTTTCTCTTAAGAACCTGAGCGGTCTTAGAAACTTTTGTTTGAGTGTGCTGACCACATTCTGACGGTATGATGGAGAAGCGGCCCTGCAGCTATCAGTATGCTTACTGCAACCATGGAGACAACATTGTTTAACATCTGTCTGTGAGATGCGGTCATATGATATTTGATTGCAAAAAATGAAAGCAACGGATATCCATCGCCAATTAACTGAAGTTTATGAGGCAAAATGCATGAGCAATTCAAATGATTCGTTGGCGCTCAAGGTAACAACGATGAATTATTTGAATACTCATGTATTTTTCTCTATAAATTTTAGTCAATTGGCAATGAATATCCATTACACTCTCATTTCTTGCGGTTAAAAATCGAATGACTACCCGCAGTCGGACACGCTAAAGAGTTATCTACAACAGTAATATAATGTAGTAAGTCGTAAGCTGTAATTCTATAAAAACTGACCAATCATAATCGAATATTCTTCTTACATTCGACTGTGATAGATCAATTCTTACAGTTTATGGCTTACAACCTGATCTACAATGTTTTGTAGAACGGGCCTAAGCAATGTATCTCCATTGTAGGAAGCATACTGACAACGTTTCTTAATTCACCACATCATTAGAATGTTACTAGCATGCCCAAATAAAAGTTCTTAAGATCCGAGCTGGAGCCAGTCAGAGTTATTTCTTGAGAGAAAAAAATAGAGAAACTTACTTTTGGATTAACTCGTAATGTACATATAATATACACAATCGTTGTCCCAATAGTTCTCATAAACATAAAAATTATGCTTATTATTCGTTTATTGTTTCAACATTAGTCCTGTTATTGGTTTAATATCTTATGTTATAGATATATGAGTATATCTTTAATAGTTATTGGGATGGCACTTTTCGAATATACAAAGTAATTTTTAAATATTTTTTTTCCAAAGAAGACAGTTAAATAGCTTTAGTATAGAAATTATGTCAACGTTGAAAATGAGATTAGAAAGGTCGGCAATTAATTGAAAAAATTTTTAATAGATTGTACAGCTTGGAATTAAATCTTTTGTAGGCCAGCGATGCAAGAAATCAAAGAATCGAACATAGAAAATATTATCATCGACTGTTCGTACGAAATTCTCGATGAAGTTCTCAAGCAGGCACAACAAGTTGGCATTTTATCCGAAAAGTACAAAGTGATCGTCACTTCTTTGGTAAGATATGCGCGCAATGTACCTTAAAAAATAAAATTACAAAATAATAATAATTAAAATTGTTTTGCAAAAAAAAGTAAAATTATTTATACTTTCGATAAAAATTTATATATATATATATATATATATATATATATATACATATACATATATATGTATATATTATAGGAAGTATATGAATATAGCGATAATGATATACTTATTATTAACAGAAGATATTATGAGATAATAATTTAATGGAAGTCTAAAGTTATTGATAATAGTTATTGATAAGTAAATAATAATTTTACATGAAAATTGTAAAATTATAAGAATGATCCGTGCAAATGATACTAAAAGTTTTTAATATTGCACTTGATTCAATCTACTCGTTAACACTACAAGTGCCTTGAGAGGGATATTTGATCATCTAAAATTAATATTTATAATTTGAATTTTTTTATGAGACATTTAAACTGCAAGTATAATTAATAAATAATTTAATTTGCAATATTAGTTAGATTCTGGAAGACCTAACAATTAAATATATTACATATTGATGAATATGCAGGACCTGCAAACTCTGGATTTAGAACCATATCAATTTTCTGGCGTTAATTTCACTGGCCTCCGCCTAATTGACCCGGAAGATCAGATAGTGCAACAAACTTACAACAGACATGAAAACGAATGGGGCCTAGACGGTCCTTCGCAGCTACAAGTTGAACCCGCGCTCATGTATGACGCAGTACAACTGTTTGCAAGAGCTTTTAAACAATTAAACGATTCTATAAAAGGCAACATCAGAACACTATCATGTACAGGAAATA